AACGCCATCTTCATGATGAGGCTCAAAACTTTTCAGACGACCCTCATTGTATATATATATGTTGTATGTTGATTGTTGGATCATCAGAAGTCGATTGTGATTGATCGATTTCGTTTTCAGAAGTCGAGAAATCACCATCAAGCTTCTCCTTTTTATATTGACAATCATAAAATAATCATAAAATATCATTATAACAATCGTTCGTTGAAGTTTGGGAGAAAAACTCGTTGCTTCATCTTCAGGTTCAATTTTTTTCTTCTGGCCACGTACTTTAGATAAAATCTTATCACAACCAGGACATTTACGATTTTTCAATAGTTCAGACATCTTTACTACGACAAATATAACAAATCAAGTATGACAAAAATAAACGAAAACAAGTATTTTTAGCTACAAAGAATGTGTTTGAAACAAAAACACAGGGTGTAACAAAGGGATATAGTATAAAGTGTAGTAAAAAGAAATCCATTATTTTTGCATGAAATTGAAGGCTTTATTTAGTATATTTAAAATGATCCGATTTAGGTCAAATATGCACCGTTTTGTTCGATAACTTGTTGCCATTTTGAAGATAATTTCATTATGCCTCTCTCATAGAAACCCTCGTCCCTTGGCGAAAAACTGGGACAGTTAATTTTCACAAGCTTCTCTTGAGGCGAATTTTTCACCAGCAAAATCATTCGCCATAGACAGGAACAGATGGTAATCACTTGGAGCCAGGTCCGGACTATAAGGTGGATGCATAAGAACCTCCCAACCAAGCTCCCGAAGCTTCTGGCGAGTCACTATCGATGTGTATGGCCTTGCGTTGTCCTGATGGAACACAATTCCTCTCCTATTGGCCAACGCTGGCCGCTTCTGGGCGATTGCTTCCTTCAGACGGTCCAATTGTTGACAGTACAGGTCCGAATTAAGAGTTTGGCCGTAGGGGAGCAGCTCATAGTAGATGATTCCCTGCCAATTCCATCAAACACACAGCAAAACCTTCCTGACCGTCAATCCTGGTTTGGCCACCGTTTGCGCCGGCTCACCGCGATTCGACCACGATCGTTTTCTCTTGACGTTGTCGTAAGTGATCCACTTTTCATCACCAGTCACCATCCACTTCAGAAATGGGTTGATTTTGTTGCGATTCAGCAGCGATTCGCAGATGGAAATTCGGTCCATGAGGTTTTTTTGCGTTAACTCGTGTGGCACCCATACATCGAGCTTCTTTTTGTATCCAGCCTTATTCAAGTGGTTCCAAACGGTTTTTTGTGCAATGTTTAGCTCCTGGGCAATCGAAACAGTGCTTACATACGGTCGGACTCGACGATTTCCATTATTTTATCGACATTTTCGACAATTGGCCTTCCAGAGCGTGGTGCATCTTTGACATCAAAATTACCGGAACGGAATCGACGAAACCAAAATTGCGCGTGATTGACTGTTACAGCATCAGGACCATAAACACTATTCACATTTTCAGCCGCCTGGCTTGCGTTTTCGCCTTTATCGAAGGAAAACTGTAAAATATGGAGTATTTTCTCTTTGCTGGTGTCCATCTTTGACGCGCGCTCAAACAATACTGAGTCAAGCAATCACAAAACTGTCTGAGAAGATTTTTTAGTGCGAAATTTTATTTTTCTAACGTCATCTAGCGTAACCCGATCGCACTTATACAACGCGAGATACAGATTACTAAAGCCATCTATTGGAAAAATAATGGATTTCTTTTTATTACACCTTATATATACTATTTAGGATAGAGCAAAGGAAGCTTAAATAATAATAGCCAATAAAATAATTTATTTGGACTTCAGCCAATTCGTCATTTCAATTGAATGATATAGAACAGGCCTCGGAATGATTTGCTGATTTTTAGTTCGAAGCTCCTCGTACCGCTATCAAGAAACGATAGTATTTCGCACTTAAGTGAACACGCAGCGCGAGATCTCCATCGACGTATAGAATAGACTGATAGCAGTAGTGGGAGTAGCGAGTAGAATAAGACGAAAATAAAAGGACGAACGTTCCTTTTCTATTTACTAATTAGTGTTGTTACACCAATATGCTAGACTCCTGCTCGTGTGTGTACGAATATCATCCTGAATGTCAATCTAGAATATCGATCGAAAATTGGACTACTTACGGGAGCTCGAAGGGGAATATCGGTAAGCAGAGACGAGCTGAAAATCGACCGAATATGCAATTCGTTTCAAGCTCTACTAATATCTAAAATATAAAATATAAAATACCACGGCATGTAACATAAAGTTGTATTTATAAATCTAGAATTGTGGATACATTGTGTTAAAGAAAGAAATGAGCGCACAAAACAATGTTTCGCATAAGCCCCCGGCGCGCGCGACCATAGCGCGCGCGCACCATCCAGAACTTTAATTTATTTAACTACGTGCTACCCTCCCAATCATTTTGAGGATTTTTTATGTTATACTAAAGTATTCAAAGTTTTTTTTTTTAAATATAAAAGTAATGTATCAATCGCATCTCACAAAAAAAATTAGAGAAAAATTTAACAATTTTTTTTAACAATTTCTATTTGACAAAATTGTTCCTTAATTTTTTTTAAACATTATCCCACTGAACCCCATAACATTTTTTTTTCATCAAAATCGGTCAAACCGTTATCGAGAAAAAAAATTTTTTTTCCTTCATATCTCCATAATTCCCATAAAGGCCATATTTGAGATATATGCTTTTGGGGAAATAACACACACATCAGTGGTGACTTATAATTAAAATCTCGACCGGATCCGGCTGGGGGCAGAAATCACTTGCTCATCCTACTATGTCCTTTTCAAGATTTTGAATAAAGATGAGGTCATCACACCGGATGGATTAACAAAATTACTTGTTTAAGATTTATTGCGTACCTCCATTCGGCTGACTCTCATTAGCCTTGAATTTGGTTATTTTTTGTCTATATAAATTAATAAAAACACTTCCATTTGGGTTTTTTTACTTTTTCTTTGATAACAAGACACAGTACCATTTGTGTTTTACTTTTTAATTTGATAGAATTTAACTTGATTAGTTAAGATTACAGCATCTGGATTTTAATTTTTCATTTGATACATTAATTTTTTTCGAACAGTAATAATTTTTGACAGAGCATTAAAGTTGCCATTACTTTAGTGGAATAAGATCTTCAATAAGAATGTCCTTGAAGAAAAATTAAAACTACTATGAATTGGGTTGGATACATAAATTTTGTTTGAGAAGCACGTGTGTTTAGCGCCTCTTTTTTACCTTTTTTAAATTTATACTGGTATCACGTATTTTGTAGAGACGAACGTCTTTATAAACAATTTACTTTCTAATTGACTTCAAGAAACAGATTTTCATGTGTTTGCACGAAATTTGGAGAAGCCCAAAATATATACCCGGTGTTTCAGACCACCCGTTTATCTTCGCAGTATAAGATTCAATCGAAAAAGTGTTCAGACAAAGAGAGTTGTAGGGTTTCTAAAGACCTATTTATTGGCGCTATGAGTTCGATCTTGGGTGGCATCGCCAAGGTCAGGTCAAGATCACATCGATTTTTTTAAATGGAACCTCCTATTTTTCATTACATTTTTTTTCTTGTAGCTTACCTCGAGAACTTTTCGAAACACTATAATAAAATATTTTTTATTAAGTATTTTTCGAGTTATAAAGCTCGAAAGTTGCAGTACAGCCGGTATTAGCATTACGCAAATTATCCGACCGACAGCTAAAACCTCTTGAATGTTGTTCAGGATAATGTCCTGGATAACATTTGTCAAGATTAAATCCATTGGTGATTGTACCTCTTATTTCCATTTTTACGTAAAAATGAATTTTTAATGCAAATATGAAAACAAGAGATACAGCTTGCAATGACCTTGATTTTGACAAATGTTATCCAGAACATGATCCTGAATAACATTCAAGAGGTTTTAGCCGTCGGTCGGACAACTTGCGTAATGCTAATGCCGACTGTACTGCAACTTTCGAGCCTTATAACTCGAAAAATATTTAATGAAAAAATATTTTATTATAGTGCTTTGAAAAGCTCTCGAGATAAGCTACAAGAAAATGTAATGAAAGATAAGGGATTCCATTTTTAAAAATCGATGTGATTTTGAACTGACCTAAACCCTACAACTTTTGCGATTTGACCTTATACTGCAAAGATAAAAGGATGGGACGGGTGATCTGAAACACCCGGTATATTATAAATTTTATACTAGAAATTTAAAATGCCTATTACGGTCGAAGCTGGATCTTCGTTGCTTAAATAATTCAATCTTGAATTACTAATATACCTTCTGTATAAAAAGTACCGGGAAATTGTCATTTAAATGAACCGCGGAAGAGGTAGCGGTAAAATGTTTTTTTTTTAGGTTGGCACTACCTTCCTGAATTACCAACCATTATTTAAGTGTCTTGAGGCGTTTACGCGAAAATATCCGGCGAAAAAGGCCCGAATTGTGGCGAGACAATTCGTGGATTTTACACGACGACAATGCGCCGGCGCACAGAGCCACGATTGTGGCCGATTACAAGGCCAAAAACTCGGTCAATTCTATCGACCATCCACCGTATTCGCCTGATTTGGCACCGTGCGACTTCTTTCTTTTCCCGAAACTGAAATTGCCACTCCGTGGTACTCGTTTTTCATCGATTGATGACATCAAACGGAATTCGCAGCGTGTCCTGAAGGCCATACCAGAATCGGCCTACCAGAAGTGCATGGAAGATTGGTTTCGCCGTTTTCACATGTGCATTGCAAACGATGGGGATTACTTTGAAGGCGACAAAATAAATTTTGATGAATAAATAAAATATTCTGTGTTTTTTTTAACGATTCCCGGTACTTTTTATACAGAAGGTATACTATATACGTCTTTTCACTGAACACGATGCAAGAATTTATTTAGCTCTATACACCTTAAAAAATACTGTCCGATTGGGGTGATCCCGATATTCCCGATTGACCACGGCTCGATTGGACACCATCAATCACAGCGACCGGTGCTTAGGAGCTTTGTAGTCTCAAGCGCTGTGAGTGGTTCGTGTCCAATTGAGCCGTGTCCAACTGGGTGCCACCCGTCCGATTAATGTGAAAAAATGACCAAATTTCAAAGTCGATTTTAGCAAGATTCCAAGTGTTCAAATGGATTGTTACTCCCCTTAAATTATAGGTCTGTTCACCCAGAACAAGATCCAGTTGGAATTTTTCTGGAACCTCTCCTACAGAGTCTTTAAAAGTTGCGTATAACTGGATTATTAATACGTTTTTCAGGATAGAAAAAATTTTTTTACAGATTATAAAGTATATTGCTTTGTGATCTTGACATCCTCAAATGAAATGCCTCAATTTAACAATAAAAAATTGTTTATTAAAAAATGAAATGAGTACATAATAACAAAAATATGATTTAATGAATTAAAATAAACTACCTATATAAAATAAGGAATGGAATCATATATAACAAAAATAGGAATAAAATTTTAATGGAATCATAATTGCCCTAACAGCACAAGACGTCCTCAGGATTATCCTGAATATGTCCCAGGATATCCTGGACATTTTATGGACATGCATATCTCCACAGGACGTCCTGAGGATATTCTTAGGGCATCATCTTCAGGACATCCTCAGGACGTCCTTTGAATACCTTCAGAACGTCATGGGAATAGCGGACATTCTTGAGACAGCTTCAGGACATTCTTGAGACAGCTTCAGGACATTCTTGAGACAGCTTCAGGACATTCTTGAGACAGCTTCAGGACATCGTGGGGATAGCCCCAGGACATCCTTGAGATAGTCTTAGGACGTCCTTGTGGGACAGTCTCAGAACGTCCTTCGGAAAAGACTTCCGTAAAAATTTTGTATATATAAATAATGTATTATATATGTATGTTACAAAATTATATACAACTTAATATTTACATTAAATGAAAGAATCAGTTTTAAATATTTCAATGAAATGTCCTTTTCTTTGATACTAACGTGATCATGTGCTAACAACAAAATATATTAAGTACATTTATATATACATTAATTAAGTTAATTTTATTATCTAAAAATTAAGAGTGTAGTGTAAGAAATTTAGAGGAAATGGGCATAACAGAGAAGCTATCAGCGTCGAGGCTGTGTGGCTCAATGGCAGGACGGAAGTCTATCAACTCAGAGGAGAGACCAGGCCTCGGTTCAAGACTCAGAGCGCCCTGATATTTTCCTCGTGGTATTGCTTATTTCTTACAGTAATTTGACCACGTTTACAATTGACCACCTATTCACAACGCTTGAACAGTGGAAAATACTTTCCAGGCATCAGTTTCTGTGAGTGGATGTGATCATTTTATTTTACTTTTAATACATCCTGAAATAGTCCTGAAATCGTCCAGAAAGTCCTAAAATAGTCCTGAATATATCCTGAATTAATCCCCGATAATACCACAATGGATGTCTAGCGGATGTATGTGGGACATAATGAGGCGCTCATGTCATAGTCCATAGGACGTCCTTGGACTACAATAGGACATCCCTGTGTTATTAGGGTGGTGATCCATA